TTTTGTTGTTGTTGACCTGTCAATCACGCCTTTGATAATTACCGGGTTGTTGCCAACATTTTGAACAGATGAAGTAAATTTCAAAACAAACTGCCTGACCAATTGTAACGACTTATCAACATCTGACTGCAGTTCTTCGTGTAATCAAGGGGTGAAAGGGGTGTAATATACATGTATGTGTTTCTATTAATAAAACAACTTGTGTGCCAGGTTATCACTGCAAATTGTGAGCTGCTGTTAATCAGTAGGAGACATTTGTTATCAGACATGCTGGTTGTCAAAAATGTAAACTCTCACAGTGTGCTGGTCTTAACAAGTGTACTTACTATGTAGATTTAGTTGATTTCTTTTTAGGCAAATTTCTTTTCAGGCAAATTTCTTTTCTATAATCGTAGCGAAGTTTTGGTTTCTTGCTATTCTTAACATTGCTATAAGTGTAAAAAAGTTTAATAATATTCTTTGGATATTGTGAGAGTAACATTGCATAATGACTGGCGTCCTGTCTCATTTTAGCAGATTTTCAGCTTTATCGGTTTCTGCAAAATTAGATGTATTTATGTATCCCAGTGGTACATTTCTGGTATGAAATAAATATCCATTTACTGGAGCCTACCCTGGTCGTTCTCGGTACAGATGTAGTAGTTTAACATAAAGTACATGCATATACTTTATATCGTAAAGGGGTTAATTATTCACTGTTTTAATTTTGCTTTTTTCGCTGACTGGAAAACTTGCTAAATTAAAATTTAGCATAGAACACATTATCTAAATAATAAAACCGTGAATTTAAAAACTCACTGAATCAGCAAAATTTCAACCCAGCGAAAATTAGTCATTTTACAGTAGTACATTTCTACAATTAAAAATTTGAAAAAAACTATGTTAATGAAAATAATAAAAAATAAAACAAACTAAAAATTAAACTACATCATTTGTTTTTTTCTTGGAAGAGAAGGAAACTTGTTTTAGTCCTGACTATGATTAATTTGTTTTCTCTACAGAGCTGTGGATTGATAGAGCTTGACACTGCCTATATGTACAATAATGGTAGTATTCTGACAACTAAACTACAAAGCAATGGCTCATTGCTATCCTTGATAAATCTATACAGTAAAATGAATAATACAAGCTGTATGCCAGAACCATTGATTATATTTTATACCATTGAGATTCTACATATTGTTGAACAAATGCATAAATGTGGTATTATACATGCTGATATTAAACCAGATAACTTCCTTGTCAGAAATATGTAAGTTTTGTATTTTTTTTTTACACCAATTCCATTTCTATTTTCTTTTGGCTGAAATACAAATTGGCTCGACTGTAATTTATTAGGCCCAGTGTTGTCTTTTCACACGTCTGTGTGAAACATTTAATTGTTACGTCTGCCAAACTAACCTTCTCTTTGTGATCAGGTTTTTTCAAATAACACCATTTATTTTTATTCAAAAATCAAATATATTTAAGAGTGAAAAACAGTGCTGGAAGTACTTTCCCATAATTCTGTGCTTTATATATTCAGTAAGATACTAGTATTCATTTTTGCAGTACTCCTTGTCTTAACCCTCTAAAATCCTAACTGATGGTGTTTTTTACTTCTCAGTGATGAAGACATTGATACAAACAAAGCCCTTAGTGAAGTAGCAGGACTACAGCTGATTGATTTTGGACAATCAATTGATATGAAATTGGTGCCAGAAGGGACTACATTTACATCATCATGTTATACTTCAGGTTTTATGTGTCATGAAATGCAGACTGGTAAACCATGGACATACCAGGTTGGTATTACTGACACAAATCAGTAGAGCATTTCTACCTTCTCTGAAACATCTTACATGGAGCAAGTTTAGAATGTTGCGAAAGGCACATAACTTTCTGAGAAAAACATCAGTGGTTCAAAACACATTATTTTTGGAAAAGACTGATTTTATGTGGGTAGCCCTCTATGGCCAGACTTGCTAATGACTCCTGAGGACACTATATACCCCTCTTGAACCTATAATTCCTTAATCAATTCAGGGTTCTCCCCAGTGTATTGTAGCTTACACCTTTCCTATAATTTTGAATAGCCTATAATTATAACAATAGGATCTTAACCTATACAATTGATACAGAGATTAGCCTATAAGTAATATCAAACTATTACATCATAATAACAGATGATTAAATCATATACTAAGGTAAGTAATAAATAAGGTTCCCAACCCATAAGTCATAAGAATATTATGTCATAATACCAATCTAAGTAATAAGAAGTCTAACCCATAAGTAATGTAAGGTATTAACCCAAATTAAGCAATGAAAATTACATGATAGTACCAACAGAAGTAGTAAGGTTTTCAACCCGTAAGTCATAACAGACCATTACATCATAATAACAGGGGTCAAAATAAAAAAAAAAAGACCTAGTTGTCACTGAGTGTATTTTTTCCAGTGGAATGATAATACTGCACTAGAATATGAATATTAATATGTAAATTGTGATTTCCCAGAAAAAAAATGTATAGTCCCAATGGGCAACCAGTTCCAGGATTTGGTTTCCCTCATGGCAAAATGGGTTTGCCCCATGCAAACCGCTAGTTTTGAACCCTGTTCAATACCAGCCTAAGTGATATAGAACTTAATACAACAATTATGCACAATATCAAGTATAAGTATTTAGGAGTTTATCCCATAAATTTATTCCTAAACTATCTTATATTGCTATAATTATTCAGAACCATTCAACTAAATTGTGGGTGTGTGTAGATCACTTTGTTTTGAAGTTTTTTTTTACAATTATGCCTGCAGATGATTTTAACTCATTAATGTTACATCAATATCTTAAAACGAAACAAATATATAGAAAAATCCTGTCTACAAAACATGTTGCCATTCATGCCTCGTTTAAAGTTCAGTTATTTTTTGATGACATAATTAGAACCAAAGATGCACACTAATTTTGATATTATTATCAATAAATGAATGAGTTGTTAAATTGAATATTGTTCTCCCCATAAATGGCTTTGAATTATGTATGTTTATGGAACTTCACATAAATCTCAACATATGCAGTTTTTTAGTCAATGTTTGTGAACACTAATGACAAGTGTTAACAAATGAGTATTTAATGAGTTTTTGAGATGGAAATGACAAGAATACTACATCTCATTGTTTTATCTGTGAAAAATGACTGGTGTTAAATGCTTATTTTCAGACTGATTACTATGGAATTGCAGCTACTGTGTATTGCATGATGTTTGGTCAGTATATGTCAACATTCCGTCGTGGTATATACTGGAGACAAAACAAATCAGTATACAGATGGTTTCATGCTTCAGTTTGGAATGATTTCTTTCACGATATGCTCAATGTACCTGGCTGTACACAGTTACCATCCCTGTCAGATCACAGGCAAAAGCTACAGGAGATTCTACAGACAGTTCCTGTTGAAACTTTTCAGAAACTTAAACAAAAACAAGATATGATGTTATTTGAAGCACAGAACATGTAATTATGTTGTCAAGGTTACATCAATAGCCTACACAACTGTTAGGGTGTTTTGTATGGAATTTATTTTCACTGACTTTTGACAAGTTTAATGTAAAATATAGGAAAAAAATATAGTTGGTGGATTTTATTTTCATTGAATCATTCCTTCAGAGAAAGTAGAAAAATTAATTCCAAGCAAAAATAAAGTATTTTACAGTATATTCTATTATTCTTATTTGTGAATTTTGAATTTACAATACCTACAATGCAGGTTTTGTTTTTAATATTACACAGATGCAAGTACTGTTTACTTTTAAGACTACTTGTGTTAATGAATTAATTTTAAATGTACATGTATATTACCATTTAACAACACAGTTTATACATTATGTGTCTTCAATTTACATGTTTTGCTTACATTGTCATTACACCAATTTCAGAAACATGATGAACAAGAAACAAATTAACAGAATCAAAACTAAACAAATAGTGTTTTGAATGAGTAATTTATATGGCCTGTCCTGTCAATTAAATACTGTTAAACCACGGGAATTTTTGCAATCTTATGATATTAATGAAAGTCACTGAAACTCCATTTTCTGATTTTAACTGACTTAAAAATTTGTCTTGCGAAATTAAGGCACTTAACAATCGTCATTGATACATGGAAGTATGCACTTAACTTTGAGTATGCGGAGGGGCATCTTTAACTCACTGCTAAGAAATTGTTTCTTCAGCAAGGGACTTTTTTCACAGCACAATTAATGCATATACTTTGATGTACCAATGGGAATTCATTGAATAACGAGTGAAAACAAAACTTTGAACTAGTTTTTTAGTCTGCCATGTAACAGTGTAACAAGACTTATCCCTACACAACAACATATATAAATTTGGTTGCTCAGTATAACTTTAAAGTTGTGTTTATCCATCAATCAGCTTAGCACAGCAGCTGACCCATACAAATACATTGTACAGTGCAAGCAACATACAATGTTCTGTGACCTAGCTCAGCCCTGAGAATATCAATAATATTAACTTTATATCAATATCAATAGATATATTTCAAATAGTTTGGACATTGTTAATAGGTTTAAATGTCATGACTGTAGCAGTTTTTCTAGAAATGTTTTTCAAAATTATTTTTCTTCATGTGTATTTCTTGCAGTTAGTAAAACTTGTAATGTGTCTGTATATCTCTGATGTTGGGTGATTCTATTGTTAATTGTATATTTACTGATTGTTGCTACTTACCCTCAGTGACTGCCCAAATTATGACAGTGACTATTTGCTCACAGATATTATAGCAGGCACAAATAAGATTCATCTGGACTTGCAAAGTCCCCTGGTAAAGTTCAATGTTCCAATAACCCCATCAACTTTCCTAGATGGAGTGACCACAAATAATTTATAACTTTTTGTATAGTCCCAATGACTTGTTGATATTTAGAAACCCATGTCAGATTTGTTAATGAAACAGGATGAATACAGAACAGTAAGCTTCTATGTCACCAGTGAATTAAAAGTGTTGGTGGAGTGGCAAGTTTTAATCATTCTAATGTCTAAACTTTGTTTAAACTCTCTCTTGTTAAAAAAAAAAAAAACACTGCTCTGAAAACTAATACCAAGAATGCATGCCAAAATCAGGATTATCAACAACCCCAAAACCACTTGCGGTATATGCTGATAAAGTCTCACTTTGGCAATCAGTCCAAGCACACAATTGTAGTTCATGGAGCTGGTGAGAACTCCTTTGGTTCATGCGTGAGGGGCTTTCCCTGCACTTTGTATGAGTCGGTCGGCAAACTTTGGTTAGCAGGGTGACATTTTATGAGAAGTACCATGCCCCACACTTTGTGGGTTCACACTTAATGGCTTTTCATGACTATTACCACAGCCATATACTTGTATTCAGTAGTCAAACACGGCTACAAGAGTTGGTTTACAATTTTTAAGCCAAACAGCATTGTTGTTTAAGACAGCCATGATACCACAGGAAGTAAGACTTGTTGGGGAAAGGAGCTATCTCCAGAGTGAGACACCACCAACCCACTTATTATTCACACATTTTTGTTACCATGAAAAGCAGCAGACCTCAAATGTGCATCACTGCATACATTTATTATCACCAGATCTAAAATAAGCTGTGCATACCGAATCACCCTTAAAGTCGCTGATAGCTATGACTCTTGTTCCTTTGGGTTGAATTGCCCTTTTATGTATTCACAAAATTATTTGGTATACCAGTAGCATGTCTGCTAAGAGCATGATCTAGCATTTTCTGAATTTCATAGCATCCTGGAAAATGCTGGTACTACACTATACTACAGGATCTAGTTTTCTCCGTGTGGAATTCAACTCTCAGTTAGCCTAGTAAGGCTAAGTATAGTGAGTTATTATCTACATTGTATGCTGTGCCTTAAATAAATCGTGAAGTTGAGGACTCAAATGAGTTTTTTTGGAATGGCTACTTCTATGTGAGGAATTGTTCCCAAGGGTCCCTCTGAGCACATGGCCAGACTGATCTCATACAAACTTCACATATGTATCATGTCACACATGCATATACATGTATGCATTCTTTTCTTTCACGGCAAGATTTAAGATAGCTGTATGGCAGCCACTTTAGTGCAAAACTGTATTTATTTACTTTCCTGCATGGCCATTGCAGAACTGGATCTTCGTCATGCTTTGAATGATTTCATTTAAACAAGAGATATACTTTTATGGGACCTTGCTTTATGAATCGAATCAAATTCCAAATTGTCACCATTAAAGAATGTGGTGAGCCATAATATTTCTGACAAGCCTACTCTGATTGCTAACATACCGGACGTCACATGACTCGTGCATTATTTTTTTTGAAATGTCCACAAAAAACATTCGTAAAAAGAAAGTATTTGTGAAAATTTAATTGAGTTTGAAATGCCAGTGTCAACATCAGTTGGTAAAATTGAGATCTTCCCTTGTTCAAAAAGAAAATGTGTAAATATTTTGAGACTACAAATTCTTAGTATGAACAAGATTTGGTGGAGCTTACACTGACATCAGATATATGTATATTGTTAGATAAAATAATGATCTAGCAATATAAATACTATTTTGCAATTCTTTTGAATCTGTCCTTTATAAAAAAAAAGAAGAGTATATTGAATCAAACATTTTATGTGAAAATGCAACATTCTTAATGTCCGGAGTATAGATATTAAATATTTGAGAAAAATAAGCTGGGAAGCTTTTCTGATAAGGTGACAACTGTTAGATTTATTTTATTAAATATAGATTTATAATGCACAGTGTTATGTAACTGGTATGGTTTTAGTCAATATGGAAGCTATAGATGTCTCAAATAAATGCAAATATTATTTTTTTTTATTAATTATCAGCCTAAAACATGACAAGAACCATTTCATCATTATTACTGCTGCTTCATACATCACACTCTAACCTATTGAAAGTCTCTTAATTATGTCGAAAGAGGGCAGTGTTCAGACAGACTGGGACTATTTTCTGGGGGAGGTTTTTTTTTACGCAGGGTGAACTTTGAACTGTTGGAATGATGATTACTTTTATGGATTAGCAAATATAAAGACGTGCAGCATTTATACAGATGTAACATGTACAAATTATCTTGTATAGAAATGTAAAAATGTCTCTAACAAATGTTAATTTAGAACAATTCTAACCGGGCTGTCCATGAGTATCTGGTGTCATGGAAACCGGGATAGTACTTTTCATATACAGCTTCACTAATTGTTGGAAAATCGCTACATGAACAACTCCATTAAACAGTTCAGAAAATGTCAGCTTTCATTTGATCGCGGTTGCCAACCTTATAACCTTATTTGAATATGAAACATTTAGTTCTGGGGTATGTTACATCAGATCATGGAACTATAAAGCACTGCAAGATAAACTAAGACAAAGGTTTTTTTAATCCTCTTAGTTTCGTTGTTCTTCCTGGGGTTTATAGTTCCATGATTAGATATTTCATCTGGAAATCGACCTTAGTTGTAATACTATTGTTATGGTAACATCACTCAGCACATGTCATCAATATGGATAGTCATGTAAATCTTGGAAATTTCATGTAATTAATATTTGTTAGAGATGTTTTGTATTACAGTTATTAAGTTTGTTGCTGGCAAATAACCAGAACTGTTTCGTACTGGAGCTTACCCTAGCTGCCCACGTTTGTATTCTCAACTCCGCTATCGAAAGATATTTGTCGGTAACGACGCGAAGAAACGGAGGCAGCTGGGGTGTGAGATTCCTGAAAAAAAATGGGTTTAATTCATCATTGACGAGCGTCAGTTGACAAGTCGCCACGTAACTCTTTTAGTACTAGTATTTTGTGCTTTTTGTTGGTTTCTGCTGAAATGTTGTAAAGCAAAAAAAAAGTGCGTCACTGCACTATTTGATTAAACAAATTATTGTTAACCTTACATTTCAGTATATTTAGGCCCAAACTTTATTTTACCAATAATTCACAATCACGCTGTGTCCATTTCGGTGGCGTAAATCAATAGTATCGTTTTATTAAGTGGCGTAATTGTAATCCCATCACCACCACCAAATTCCTGTTTCGTATCCATTGTTATTTGTCCTAGATTCCAGTGTGTGTCTTGTGTGAACTCAGTACCATAGTGTCTCTGTCTACGAAACCACAATGCTAGATCGTTTTAATAGTTAACGAGATTGTGCTATGCATCATTGCCCCGCTGAATGCGAGTATAGTACGTCTTTTGTTTGCCATACATCACACTCCAATGAACACCATTTATACAAAACCGCTGAATGGAAGAAGGGGTAACCATTTGAATCACGGCGGCGGAGGATGATGTGATGTGACCAGTACGTTTTTGGCGGTATCTTATCTGTACATTTTTTTTTCTTGTATGTGCCAACTTTTTTTCCTGCATCACTTTCCGTGCATTTTGTTTCTCGGACTGCAGCTTGCATTAAAAACAAAACAAACAAAATTGTGAGATTTCAAATTATGGATCCACGAATAACAGAGCTTTCCCGTTGCCTTGGGGCAATAAACACTTAGCATTAGGAGCAGAGCTGCCAAGGACTATCATGTATTGGTGTACCAAACTTGGCATATATTTAATTGGGGCGTACAATCATTTTAGAAGATAGTTAATTTGTAAGGAATGCCACGATGGATTCTTGTAATTCAATGTTTATTGTTTTTACGATGGACAAAATGGTTTCTAGCTCCCCCCGATAAAAAAAACATATTTAGGTATAATACTCTTATTAGCCATACCTTCTCATTACAAATATGAGTTGATATTCTCACATGGCTGTAATAAAAACATTCCCTTCCCTTGATCTGTTCCCTCCCCCGCATACTGTTCAAACCCCTTTAAAAGTGTTACTATATATATGAATATGTTACTGCAACACGGTGTATACCCAGGGATTACATCACTTTGTATCTGAATAGGTACAACACGGTGTATACCCTGGGATTACATCACTCTGTATCTAAATAGGTACAGCACGATGTATACCCTGGGATTACATCACTTTGTATCTAAATAGGTACAACACTGTGTATAACCAGGGATTACATCACTTTGTATCTAAATAGGTACAGCACGGTGTATACCCAGGGATTACATCACTTTGTATCTAAATAGGTACAGCACAGTGTATACCCAGGAATTACATCACTTTGTATCTAAATAGGTACAACACGGTGTATACCCTGGGATTACATCACTTTTCATCTAAATAGGTACAACATGGTATATAACCAGGGATTACATCACTTTGTATCTAAATAGGTACAACATGGTATATAACCAAGACCACTATTTTAAATAAAAAGACGGATGACGCGCTTGAAAAATTCACAATACATCAAATATGTCAGTGGTTAAATAGTATATCAGTTTATGCGTTAAATACAACAGTAAACTTATTTTTGTATAGGTTAATGTAACGAAATATCAAAATTACTCATAACAATTTAATCGAAGTGTTCGGGCTTTTTCATATTTTGCGAATGTATGCGATTACATTTTTGTTGAAAAACGTGACAATACCTCAGGCTGATGCGGATTGTGCAGTTAATATATTCATGAAAAAAATGAAAATACGTCAGTTTCTGTAAATTTGCCATATTTACTAATACATGAGCTTATATCACTAATATCACTGTGCATTCACTTCGAACACACCCACTCTGCCATCATTTACTAGTAATACACGAGTTTTTCCGAACAGTCTCTGTCCGAGATTTCGTTTTGTACGCGCCTCAACAAAGCGTTTTGAACGGCAACAATAACATGACCAGTTCATTAAAACAGATACATTTGAACACTATAAAACTTGCCGTTACACGACGCTGTGGTCGGTTAACTGTTTATGGCAGAATGATAAAATACCGACATTCTTGTCATTGGCTGACCTATTACTGTCATTATTTTCGGCATTGACAGTTGTCGTAAAAGTGCATTGTGGGTAATCGTAAATCACCACTGATGAAAAGACAATTCGATTGGTTTGAAAAATAACCTTGTTGTATTACATTAACGTATACAGTTCACGCAGTGGGCGATTGTATGAACTCATTCTGCAATATACTCCACATAAAGTACGCTTTTAAAACACGCACATGAACTATAAACGGTGTCCAATCGAATTGACAAAAACATGTTACCTACATCCGAATTTAGTTAGAATTATCAAACTAATAATTACTTCAGACCGAACAACACTGAGTTGTAATATCGTGCATAGCACCACGTGACAGCCCCCATATGAAGACACGTGACCCACTATGTATGTATATAAGTTATGGCGATATATAATTGTGAATCAATTGTGACTTTATACGTGCAGTTTGTCAATGAAAACATTCCGTATAACTACACTACCACGTCACCACAGCCTATATGAAGACCACAGGCTGATCCATATAATATTACATGACACTACCACGTCACCATACTCTATATTCACACCTATCTACTGGCGGTAGATTCTACATTTTCTGGACGGGTGTCGTCTCTCCAAATAATTATGATCCAAACTTGAATTTAATTACAGAGTCCTTGGCAGCTATAGAAATAATGAAGTACTAAAGTCGTCGAGTCGTACCACACATGCGTACTGGGGTTAAAAGCCATAGTGAATGGCGTCGGTTTTCGTTTGAGTTTTGGTTGAATTGAATACGACCCGCGTCCTAAAGTTTTAGTGCCGAAAAGTGAAATTATATGACTCTGTAATTTCCACTACTATATCTACTTAAATATTCATCAAATAATTGAAGTTGTGGAATGACTAGATTACACACGTGTTAGTGGTAACATGTAATTGGCACGTGATAGGTTATACTATACATGTATATAGTAATTTCATAAATTTACTTAGAAAGTTAGTAAACATTTATTTTTATATCCACAGCACGATGTCCGATAAATGACAACAGTGACATCATCGTCTCCATTTTTACGACAATATTACGGTACAACCAATTCTTCTCGTTAGAACCAATTCTTCTCGTTATGTGGTGTTACCCGAGCTATCACGCTGTCCGCACCTAAGCTATTAGCGATGTAAACACGACAATCAATCAACATTACGATTTTCGCTGTTTGAATCACTACCAAAGCTATTTCAAAGTGAAGTCCAGCCATTTTCTATTGTAGTTTGACATCGCTACCGACGATCCGATTTGAAGTGTTGGATTCGTGCTTGATTCCATATCCAACACTTGTTATCGGATGGCCAGTAGCAACAACTTTGCCATATTCGGGTCAATTACCGCTGTCATCTCACTGTGCATCACCACAGAATGGATACTTGTGTGTTGTATACCATTCGACTTGCCTGACCGCACTCCAATGCTCGCAGTGTATACTAGTTGTATCAAATATGGCTGACTTGTCGTATTCTCTGCTCTTACGTGCTTTGTTCGTTGGTCGTAAAACTCGGTCATTTTCTTCTACATGGATGTGAATGGTATGTCGCCATGTATTCGTGTATCGACTTGTGTCTCTTCTAGCACGGATGACTAAAATACAAACACATATTTATAACATATAGTTTCAGTGGAAAAACAAAATTAGCTCTGTTCTTGTTTTATGTGTTTGATTCTTTTTTTTTTTGCTTTCGCATTCATCAGATGATCTTCATTACCATCATTTGGTAGAAAACTAATCAAACGCCGCTTAATTTATTTATGACTTTGAATTTAAAATGTACTTGGAACAACGTAAAAAATACCAGATGAGAACGTAAATGTATACTACGGCGAAACCATCGCAGTCGTTCTCGTGATTAACAGTGTTGTGTGTTTTCCATGGAAACACAATATTCGGCTAAATTACTTATTTTGTTCGTGGTTTTAGAATTTGTTTGATCACATCATTACAAAGCCATGATACTAGTACATGTTTGTACACAGTTACTGGTAAATGAAAAGTCTATGTTAACCATGGTGTCATTACCACCATGTCGATGTTATGTACTATAATAGAAAAAGTCAATCGTAAGGAATCCGTATACAATACTCATATATCTTCACTTTGAAAAATCATTATTTGTTGTTATAATACCCATATTTGTATACAAATATACCAATATAAAATGTGGTGTACTCACCTGCGAGAGCATGTCAGCATTTCTGCAGCTGCTGGGCTGTTAACGCTCTGCTAACCAGACGCTAAACTGACCCAGCATCTGCGCCTCGCCTCTGACACTGTAAGGTAGCCGTAACGAAGCGCAGTGTTCTGCAATGATTGATGTCTTCCTATTGTTCTATACATTAGAAAAGGGAGACTAAAAGCAGTGACAGGATGGATACTATTCAGAGCTACACTATCTCGCTAGGTAACCAATTTAATGAAAAACTCACTTACGACCTCAGTTTATTTCCCCAACAAGAACCATAAATCAAAACTGTAAGCGTACTAAAAATCCTTTCTCCACTTTTGTTCACTTAGCTATTAATACACACAGCCCTGAAATAATAATAATAATAAAAAAAACTCGTTGTGTTTTAATGTGTTTTTATCAAATCAACCTCGTTCAAGTGCAGTACAAACTTTACTGGTTTATAGCAGAGATTATTGTCAATCCTCAACATTAAATCTGAACCAGGGCCGATTTTTATAGTCCCCACTGACCTTGCATGTATAGTTAGGTGGTCTGGCTGACAAAGGGCGTGCTTTGATGCACGTCCAATGATAGTAACACGCTCCCCTTGTTTCCAACATTGATTAATTCACATTGACCCAAAGGTCATTTTAAAATGGCGTCCCCTTGTGAAACAACGTAGCCGTATAAACCAAGCGGCCTTACTATATGTTTTAACATTAAAAAAACGATTTTGTTACAAAAAAGGTGTCCTAAATTTTATTTGTAAATGCACGACATTCTGGTATAAGAATTCGGGTTATCGCACATACATATAGGTTTGAGGGAACATTCACATCCTCGATACATGGGAGGTATGAAGATGGTGTTCACAGTGCATTGAAATAAATCAATGTAGAATCTATGTCGTATTTGAATCTTGGGTAACTTCAATACCATCTGCGGCTAACGAACTTTTGACAACAAACAATCCTGAAATTTGAAAGTCACGTGAATGGCGATTTGAAAATCCGAAGTAAGCCTGAATTAGTAGTTGAGTTTGTATACCAGCTGTACGCATTTTGACCAATTTCCAAATCCAAATCCAAAGGGAAAATCATAAAAGTCGTTGTTTTTATGGATAAGTTTCACACCTGTTATTTGTATCTGCTCTTTGTCGCTTGTTTGACGACTGTCCGGAAGACTAAAAATTGGCGATACTAATTTGCTGGCGGGCATGGAAGATGGTGATTGGTGGGCCTAAAAACCGACAATATTGATTTGCTGGCGGGCATGGAAGATGGTGATTGGTGGGTCCAAAAACCGACAATATTGATTTGGTGGTGGCCTGAAAGCTGGTGATTGGTGGGTCTAAAAACCGACAATATTGATTTGGTGGTGGCCTGAAAGATGGTGATTGGTGGGCCTAAAAACCGACAATATTGATTTGATGGCGGGCATGGAAGATGGTGATTGGTAGGTATAAAAAGCGACAATATTGATTTGATGGCGGGCATGGAAGATGGTGATTGGTAGGTATAAAAACCGACGATATTGATTTGATGGCGGGCATGGAAGATGGTGATTGGTGGGTCCAAAAACCGACAATATTGATTTGGTGGCGGTCATGGAAGATGGTGATTGGTGGGTCTAAAAACCGACAATATTGATTTGATGGGGCGGGGACAGTTGATACATAGCTGGGTACGGAGGTGTCCCTGAGTGCTCAAAAGTGTGACCATTTTTACACCTAGATAGTGGCAAAATCTATACCCATCATATTTATACCAAAGTACCATTTCTGTCATCACTGTTTGTTCCAAATATACCAAATCGGAAAAATATTACCGATATTTATGCCTATCTTGACCAGAAATAAGACCCAAAATAAAAAAAAACGAGACCCATTTCAGGGGCACGTCCCCATTATGCAAATTCTATTTACCCCCCCCCCGGGTTTGGTGGTTGGGTGGAAGACAGTGATAGACAATAGACTAACCTTCAAATATGATGATATATTATAACTGTAGACAAATGGTTTTATTGTTACCGTGTATACCACATGATGTAATACTGAATATATTCATGCACAAAATATGCAACTATGACATGTGTTAATATCAACTCACATATTTTATTTGGTATATATACACATCACATATTGTTTTAAGTAGGTTTTTTTTTACCAGAATATCAAGAGATTTTCTTGAATTTTTACCTAAAATAGTTGATAATGATTCATTCCAACTTTTTTAAAATGAACAATAATCTTCCTTTACAGATCATCATAAGAAATCTACAAAGTACATAGAAGACCAATGTAATTATATATATTATTATAACCGGTGGGTGAGTACTGTCGGGTGATGGTTTCGAGTTGGATTGGGTTAGTATGAGTTCTGTTTCGGATCAGGAGTGTAAGAGAAACGGCTTAGTTCTGCAGTTGGGGAACTTTTGACTCACTTGGCTTCAAGTTCGGCTTGAGGGACCGGGTCGTAACGCTTGCAGACGCACACAATGATGAAGAAACACCAACATTGCTTAGTTATAAATACATATTGATAAGATAAGACGTGACATTTAAATACATG